CTTGTGGAGAAGACTTACAGGCGGAAGGCCATCTGAGGGTTTGGTTTCAAGGCAAAGTTTCCATTAGGGCCTCTTTTGCAAAACAAGAGCAAGGCACATAAAACCTGCACAACAGGTGATGCGGGGAGTGTCAGGTGGAAGAGGGTGAGGAATTAGGAAGGTGAGGGCAGGGGAGGTCACAGGCCCAGGATCCGGCAGTGCTGCTGCAGCCGTCATGCTAGGTCCCTCCTGAGGTTTCGCTAACCTGTTCCCAAGTTGTCACTGGACAAAAACCCCTCTTGACCTTCCTGAAGCTGGAGGAGGCTCAAGTCAGGGCCCCAGGCTGTGTGTGGGGGGGTGAGGGTATGGGCCTCCTCACAACATCAGCAGCAAGGCCCATGTCAGCACCCCACCTTCCAGGGGCTTCCTGCCTAATGGGAGTGGACAGACTCCTTTACCCTTAGTGGTTTCCAAGACCAAGAGTGAAAGAGGTAGGGAGACAGGGCTGTGGGGAGGCTAGGGTTAGCATTCACTGAACCCTCACAAAACAGAGTGGTTGGGATCTGGGGTCAGGGAATGCGTGGAGGCTGAGCTCCCACACTGATTTTCTCCTCACAGGCTGGGAACCACAAGAAGCCCTGACCTGTCTACATGGTCCTGGAATTGGGGGGAGGAAGCTCTGAGGTAGCAGGTGCCAGCTCAAGTGCTCAGGCAGAAATGCGCAAGCAGACTGAGGGATCCCCAAGCTCTGCCGGCCTCACCCTGCCTCTCCTTTTCCTCCCCCTGCTCTCTGGCTTCTCTGTCAGTCCATGCCCCTCTCATCTATGTCCCCCGACCCTCTGGCTCTTTCTGGCTCATACCCATCCTACACCCGCGCCCTCAGCTGGGGGCTACCTGCCTCACTTCCAAGCTCTTGGGGCCTAAGGAGGACTACTCTCTTTACATCCTGTTTCTACTCCCATTTATTTAGATAATCGCTTGCTCTATGACTAGTCCACCTACCTGTTATTATATGACAGCAAAGAAAGCCAGTTGCCACCGGAACTTCCCTTTTTACAGAGACTAAAATCCCATTAAGGCCCCATAGTTTAGAGCAAAGCATTTACCTCCCCAGGTCCTCTCCTCCTCTCCCTCTTGTTCTTCTCTCTTTCATCCTTCTCACCCTTGTAGACAGTCTGAAGATACGGGAGATGTTGCAAGGTGATGAGACAGTCTCTCCAACCCCCTGACCACTCTTTCAGGAAAAGAGGGATAGCAAAGATGGCCGGCCTACTCCCCCCCACTCCCACCCTTAGGCTCTCTAGCCCCATGATATGGGGGATTTCAGGGAGATTGGTGGCAAGTCCTGGTCCATGGTCTGCTCAAGTCTCCTTCCATCCATCCAGACAGCTCAGGCCTAGTTACCAGAGGGAGAGGTGTGCGGATCTCAAGCTGCTCTCCAGAGGTCAGTTGGCCCCCAGGGTGAACTTGGGGAGGATGGTGACAGGGTTTGGAATTGGGAGGCTCCCCACTTCCCCCAGTGGCCAGCTGGTCCCTCCTCGGACACTGGGGGCTCCCAGCAGGTGAGCTGGGAACATCTCGGGGAATATATGCTGAGCCAAAGCTGCTGGCAGTGCCTATTGACCCAGCTAACACCTGAGGCTGCTTGGGGGTGGGGAGCCACATGTGAGGGTACTGGAAGAAAGCCACAAAGCCTGCTATCTGCCTCTGGTTCAGTACTTGCCAGGCACAACTGTTCTCAAAATCTATGTGAGGCTCCAAGAGAGCAAAGAGGCCAGGGTGGGCAGGCTGGGGAGAGCAGCCCCGTTGAGGCAGTCTCAGCCTTGTTCAGCAGGGACCGTGCCTGTGTGTGTGAGCATGAGTAGAAGTCTACGTGGAATCTGCATGGGTCTGTGAGCTTGGATGTGGCTTCTGGTAATTTTGTATGTGTCTGAGGCCTGTGGCCTGTTGGTGTCTGTGTGTTTGTATATCTATGGGACTTCAAGTGGCTAGGTATGGGTATGAGTTACTCTGGGGAAAGTGTGCCCAGGCTCATTGGTCTCTGGGGACAAGAGCCCTCCTAGATAACCTGCAGGAACCAAGTTTCAGTGGCCTTCAAAATCTCCCCAGTTGGCCAAAGAAGGGGCAGGTTGGGCCCAGGGACACCTGGATCTCTCAATCTGCCCCAGAGGCCCATCTGCTGTCCCCAGGGCTGGTCCCTTTGGAGACAGAGGGTCCCAGGTCCAGGTGCTCCCCCAGTTTGGCCGAGTACTGGCTCTGGACTTGGGAGACTGAGTGGAGGTGGGAAGACAGGGCAGGGTGAGGCACCCTGATTCTAGGGAGGTGTCTGCCCTGCTTTAGGCACTTTCAGAGTGTTAAAGGTGAGAGGCAGAAACAACTACTACCCTAGGAAGAAAAATTTATTTTTTAAAGCAGATGTTTATTTCTCATAGGTCTCTGGCATTAGAAGGGAGCCCTAGAGAGAGAACCCCACCTCCTCCCTATTTTAGCTCTCTGGCTGGGCTGCCTCCCTCCTTGGCAGGTGGCCCAAACACAGGACCAGCTTAGAGGTCACCTAAACACTCTGCCCAACCTGGCTGGCATGGCTCAGTGGTTGAGCATCAACCTATGAACCAAGAGGTCACAGATATAGATCCCCAGTAGGGGGCATACAGGAGGCAGCCAATCAATGATTCTCTCATCGTTGATGTTTCTATCTCTCTCTCCCTCTCCCTGAAATCAATAAAAACATATTTTTTAAAAATAAGTAAAAAATAAACACTCTGCCCATGGTCCCACTTGTCCAGTCCCCAGTTGACAGGTAGCCAATACAGGTACCACAAATAATTGGGGTCTGTGGGCCAACCCCTCCATCCCATCATCCTAATCAATCAGTCTCTCCTTCCCATTCAATCTTCTCCATTAACTCCCACAACCAACTCCATTCATTCCCCTCCTTCTTTTCCTTTTTACTTACTGGGGCTTTTTTGTCCAGCCCATTCCCAAAGATAATCTGAAATACATCTCTCCCTACATCTGAAAATAACGTTTTATTGAATTCTGTGTGCTAGACTTGTGTACAGTAACTCATAACAATCTTACAGATTTCCACAGGGCACTTCACCACAACCCGGTGTTACTGAGAAATGGGCTAGTCCAGTGATTTTCAACCGTGTGCTGCAAGAATTTTTAAAATATGCAATACCTGACTAGTCAGTGGCACTGACCTCTTTCCCCTTAGATTGTCAAATAAAACAATGACAACAGCCAACACAATAGCCAGCCATCCTGTGTGAGTGAATAAAAATTAACCTATTTTTTTTGTCAGATCAGCAAAAATATTTTTGGTGTGCCACCACATTTTAGTGATTAGTTTATGTGCCATGAGATGAACAAGATTGGAAATCGCTGAGTCAGTCAATGGGTCTCTTGGTCAAGTGGCAGAGTCAGGATTTTAGCCTCACCTCCTGCCCTCTGGACCACTGCTCTACATGGTCTCCTCACAGCCAGGCCAAGGACTTCAGGGAAAAGAATTCCCTCCCTTTAATGTTTGCTGGAAGGTTATCTTTGTGGTTGGTATCTCATAAATTTATGTAACTGCTGCTTTGGTGCTTCTCTAGGGGGCCAGGGCTTCCTATCCCTTAAGTCCCCAAAGATGCTTCTAAGCACTGTTCAGACCAAGACCTTGCAGGGGTGGTGGTGATGGGGAACTTTGAGAATGACCCCATCTTTTGGGGGTCCTGGAGGGTTGAGCATGAACATGAGATACCCTAGAGAATGCCTTTTGCCCCAATCCAGCTCCCTGCTCACTCACTGGCCCAAGGAAAGACAGGTGGAAGTCCAGGGATCCTGTCTGGGGCAAGGAAGTGTGCAGTGCAGAGCACAGAGGTTTTATAGGTCTGTACTCCTGCCATGGAGTCCACCCTTCTCCAGGTGCAGAGAGGAAGGGCCTTGCCTGGCACTCAGGCCTGTGCCTGTCCCCTTCCCACTACTCCCTTAGGTGGTGGGCAGGAATGGCAACTGGTCAGCCTGACTCTCCTGGGGCCTGAGGGCAGAAGGCAGATGTGGCTTTCACTCCCCCTACCACCCTGTGGCCTCCCTCAGCCCTCCATCAGGTTACCCAGGTTTTCCTGGGGCCCCTATAGCACTAGTGTAGGGAAAGGGGCTGTCCACTTTGACCTACTACTTCTCTTCTTCCAGAGCAAGAAGGGAATCACAAGTTCAGAAAATAATTTAATAGGGAAACAATGAATGACACACTTCACACAGACCTCTGACAGGGCAGAAAGATACCTCTTGCCCAAAGGAGGCATTGAAGGGTGGAAAGGTTAGAAATCACCAACAGCCTCTCAGAGTTTTAAAAAGAAACCCCTCAATAACTCCAGGTGTGTACATCTCCTCCAGATGCAAGTCACTTTGTGTTCCTAAAAGCCCACATGGGGGTAAGGGCAGCTAAGGAGGTAATAGTAACACCAATGGAGATGGGGAGGCCCAGATCCAGAAAGGGAAAGGTGCTTGTCCAGGGAACATGCTGAGGTAGCAGCCATGTTGGACCTGAAATGTCTCCTGGGCTAGTGAGTCCCCAAACCCTGAAGAGTCAGGCAGCCCCCATACCTCCACCTCCCAGGCCAGGACCAGCTCTGCAGAAAGTAAGGGGTATTCCCTAAAAAGGGATGGAGGATGGAGGAATGAGGATTAAGGACCCCTCCCCTGATAATCCCTGGGTCAGGGCAGGAACAAGGCATGAGTTTCTTCAATTTGCCCCACCCTAAAAAATATTTATTTTCATGGCTCAAAGGACTAACTTAAAAATAGTGAAAGAGGGTGGGCAGGCATCAGCTTCCAAGATGACTGATAAGTTCTGTGGGGTGGAGTGCAGACCATGGGGTGGGTGGTCCCTGAGGGGTCTTAGAGCACCCTGGTCCAGTGCAAGGATAGAGGTGAGTTGAAATAAGGGCTCCGAGGAAGGACAGGGGTGGGCACACAGTACAGCTGCCCCTTGCCCTCTTCTCAGAGCAAAAACAGAGCCTTGATGTCCCAAATTGACAGGCTCAGGGTCCAGCAGCGACCAGTTAACCAAAGTCACATGAAACACTCTTCTCCCAGAGGCCCACTCCCTCCCCTGGGGCCAGGCCCAGTGCTCCCAACACATACACGGGCTGGGCCATCAGAGCCTTTGTGGGGTAGGAAGTATTCTAAAGGGTGTTGGGGATCCTGGACGCAGTGGTCACAGAACTGCCCATCCAGAAAGGCTACTCCGCCAAGTTGCAGAGGGCCACAGAATTCTCGGCATCAGCCTGGATGAGTGTGTCCCCCGATTCCAGGTGGCCTGTGGTCTGTCTGTCCAGTCATCCTTTTGGGGTCACTGCAGGGTGCAAGCTGTGGAGGGGTAAGGGGAAAGGGCCAGTGTCAGGTCTCTGGCAAAAGAGGCAGAATCCAGGGCTGCCCTTAGCCCTCACCCCTCCTTGGGCAGAGGGTGGGACCCCAGGGCAGGACTCACAACTCCGAACAGACTCCGACAGACCGTCCTTGTCCAGGGTCTCGGCTTCCCAGCGAGACTCCTTCATCTGTGGAACATAAAGGCAGCACAGGGGTGAGAGGCAGCCAGGGGCACACAAAGGAGCCACATCAACAGCTGCTGAGCAACTGGGAATGAAAGATGGAGACAGCAATGGAAAGTCCTTCAGATGGAACCCAGAAAGGGAGACACAAACAGGGGGGAGAGGGGACAGACAGCTACCAGCAGAGAGGAGCTACCACATAGCCTTGCCCCAGTGGGGCTCCTCATGTACCCACCTTGACCTGCTCTTTCAGGTATTCAGCTCGAGCCAATAGGTTCTGAACCTGTCAAGGGAATATATACAAGCCCATCGGTGTGGGGGAGGGGCCTTCAGAGTAAGAACCTCCTCGCTCCTGCTGCTCTCTAGAACCCTCTGCCCATCAGAACAAATGCCTTCTGAGTCCTTTAACTGCTCACTCCTTCAGAAAGCCTTCCTAACTGAAGCAGCCCAGCCAACTTTGTTGCTGGGTTCCTACATCCTGCCTGTCCCACTGCCTGACCTGAGCTCCCAGCCCCTATGAAGCTCATGGGGCTAGCAACTTACTAGGTTTGTGATGTCTGACTCTCAGGCTTGAAACACCCCAAGGGAACCCAAGGAGTTCCTCCCAGATAGAAGGAGGGTCAAAGGGGAAGATGAAGCCCCACCAACCCTCCCAAACCCAGTGGGCACCTCAGTGTGAAGCAGCTCCCGCCTCCGGCCTGGGGGCTCCCCTGCAAAAAGAGGAAGGGCATGTGGTAAGGGCAGGGCAGCGGGGAATCGGAGTATGGTGATGGGGGTCTCACCTGCCAGCAGCAGCAGCAGCTCCCCCAGGCTGTGCTGATACAGGTCCAGGGCATCCTGCTCCCCGCCAGCTTCCTCCTCCTGCAGCCAGAGAGATACCAGGTCATTTAGGATCATGACCTAGATTCCTCCCTGCCCCACCTGAACCCCTCCTACTGGGTGCAAACCTTGGCCACCGCAGCTGAAGCCACTTCCAGGGCAGCCAGGAGGCGTGGCTTATTCCGGGCCATCTCTGGGATGAGAGGCAAAGAGGCTCACGGTGAGGGGAGCAGCTTGTTTTTTCTTCTCAGGAAGCTGACCCCAATCTACTTGGGGGCCTGGTGGTCAGTCAGGAGCTGGGCCTACCTCTGAGCAGGTCTTGGGCAGAGGCCCCCTGCCTCAGCAGGGCCCGATTGGAGGAGGACACGATGGCCTTGAGCTCCTCAGCCCGGGACACATACTGCACCACCTGCAGAACGAGGGGCTGAGGAGGGGCTGTGGAGATGTCCCACCCTGCCTCCTTTTCCAGCATCCACATCCAAGTTCTCCCTCTAGGTCCTCAGTGACTGTCCCAAGCTGTAATATCAGGAGTTGGCCTGACCCCTTCTCAGTAGAGGAAGTCCCAGTTCTAAGAGAGCCAGTTCCAGGTGGTCCCAGGACCCCCCACCTGTATCCTCCAGGGGACTCCCTCGCTCACCTTTGCCTTAATTGCCTCCTTCCGCTGTATATCCACTTCATCTGCAAACAGTGGTGGTTCATATGAGGACCCTGTCCCATGCCAAACCTTCCATAATCCTCAAAAACACCAAGTTCCAGATTTAACTTCTGACTTGTCTCCCATAAAATTCTGGATAGGGAGATGCTTCTGGAATCCATCCACAGCAGCTAGGGCTGACCCACCCCTGCTGTACCCAGAGCCCTACGCACTTACAGTGCAGGGCAGGCACGAAGAAGTCCAGGGCCTTGCAGTAGAGAGATAAGGCGGCCGCAGCATCCCCCTCCTGGTCCTTCTTCACAGCCTGCACCACCAGGGTGGTCTGGGGGATGGAGAGATCAGGAGTCACGCTTACCCCTCTGCTCACCATAATGTGGGAACGAGCCCACCCTCATTCCCCTGTGGGGCAAGCCAACTGTTCACCACCAAAAAGTGTAGATGACCCCAACCTGCCCTCACCCCAGCCCATCCCTGGTGGCCTGCTCACTGCTTGTGCCAGGCTCTCCCCATTGGGCATGTGCTCCAGGTCCACCCAGGGGTGGGCAAAGAAGTCCTGGAAGGAGATGCGATGGCTAGGGTCCCGCTCTAGGAGACGCTGCAGCAGGTCCCGGCAGTCTTGGGAGAGCTGGGGCCGGAGGGGGAGCTGAGGGGAGGGCAGGGGACAGGTCACACTGGACTCCAGAACCTCCCTCACCCTGCCCTGGTATGTCCCAGAGGTACATGTTTGACAGGTGGAGAATCTGAGAGCCAGGGGGAGCAGTGATAAGTTTGGGTGATGAAGGCAGTAGAGAGCCAAGCCTCCTGCCCAGGCTCCTGCCTACACCCTCCCTGGAACCCTGAGCTGTCGTAGAACCCTAATTTGGGTTTTCTCCTCCCTGGCTTGGGTCTATACAACAATCTGTGGTCTGATCTGGGTCCCTAGAACTGAATGGAGCTTCAAGCATGCCCAACACCACAAAGTAGCCTGGAGTCCACACTCCAGTCTGTACAGGAGTAGTGAGGTCTCCAACTTGAGGGCTCTGAATCCCACTGCCCCACAACAGGTTGCTGAGGCCATGCAGGACCCACCTCAATAACCTGGTTACTCCGGATCTTCTCTTCCAGCTCTGTGAATGACCTGGAGGCAAAGGGGGGCTGCCCGAAGAGGGCTTCTGTGGAGGGAGGTAGAGGGCAAGCTGGGAGGGCACAGGGTCCAGCCTGGCCTGGCCGACTCCTGGGAGGGCCAGACAACCCCTAGAGCAGGGGCCCTGGGCCATTAGAGTCAGCCTTCTCATTAAAGCCCTTCAGGAGTGGCCAGAGAGGGCTTGCCTGAGGACAGGCCTCACAGGGTGGGGGCAGGGGACAGAGCTCTCACCATACAGAATGACCCCCACGGACCAGAGGTCCACACGGGAGTCGTACTGCCGCTGACACACCATCTCAGGGGCCATGTAGAGAGGAGAGCCACGGAGCACATGCTTCTCATCCCACGGGGACATGTGCTGTGAGAAGCCAAAGTCTGCAGGCAAGAGGCCAGGCAGCAGGGCTCAAATTCCAGCTGCCTCTGCTCTTGGCCTTTGAAGGCTTACCTTGAGCTCCAGCACAGGACTCCTCCCCACTTTCCAGACTCACCACGATCAATCCTACTTCTCAGTCTTTGCTCATTATTAACCTCGAACACCCTCCTATATCTTTCTATGGGGGCATAAATCCTACCCATCCTATACAGCCCCTTCAGGCACCTTTTTCCAGCAAGCCCATCCTGCTCATACCAGCTATGAATATAATGGCCCACTAGGGGTTAGAATCCTCCCTCACTGTCCCACCAAGTTCAAGTTATACCACCTCCAGCCTCAAGTAAATTCTTCTCCAAACTCTATCAGAGACCATAACCACCCCTCCCCCACCTCACACCCTCCAACAATGCCACAGGTTGAGTCACAACTTGAGCTCCAATCCTGGCACAAACTAAGTCTTAACCCTGTTCTCAACCATTACACTGCTAGTGTTGAGTGTGGGTAGCCTGAGAAAGGTCCTACCTTTTGATGATGGGGCCCGGCCTATTCCTGGATCTCCCAGCCTATTCCTATTTGATAACTCAATAGAGGGCTCCAGAACCAGGGCTGCTGAGTGCATACCCACCCTCCAAACCTTGATGCTCTGTTCAGTTCTAAGGACCCAGGTGAGCCCACAGATTGTTGTGTAGACCCAGGCCCAGCCTTCCCCTGCTGTTCCAGACTCACACCTGCCAGTTTAAGGTGGGGCTTCTCCAACGAGCTCAGCAGAATGTTCTGTGGCTTCAGATCCAGGTGAGATATGTTCCGTTCATGCAAAAACTGCAGGGCACTAGCTGGGGAACAGAACACATGCAGAGAAACAGGTCAGAGGGGCTCATCTCCCACCTGCCTCTTGCTTTCCCTGACTGACATCTGCTTCTTCAAGCCTGCATGACCCTAGTTCTGGCCTGGCTGGTCTCCTGAATGCTTTACATACAAGTACCAGGTTCCTGCCACTTCTAAGAACCCCCCACTTCCACCTCCAGGACCCTCTTTCATCCCTTGGGCCCCTTTGCAAGTCTCCCCTCCTCCTAGGAGCCTCCCTGGATGCCCCAACCCTTTAGACTTTTGCTCTTTCTCTTGGAAAAGCACTTGGTACTACCCACTGGGCCCTGGAGTGTCCTACAAGGTCTTTCTATTATGTTCCACATGTGGAAAATCTGGACTTCTCACAGATTAGGGCTCCTGCCTCTGTGTCTCTCATAACATCCTTAAGCTAGAGATGGGCACATGGTAAAGACAGGGCCCCATAAATCCAACCTGGGAAAGGAGGCAACTGCTAAGAATGCAGGGGCTCTAAGCCTGGGTAGGGGTACAGAGGGAAGACGAGATCATGGGAAGTCTGGGGTCAGAGGCTTTTACCCAACTGCTGCATGAAGACACGAGCCACCTTCTCAGGCAGAATCCGGCGGGTATGGATGAAGCGAGACAGGTCACCTCCTGCACAGAACTCCATGATGAGGTAGATGTTGTCACTGTCCCACTGTGGATAGAGGCAAAGAGGCAGCTTGAAGAGAATATCTCTTCTCCAGCTCCCTTTGGGGGTGGATGTACCACAGGCCCGCACCTGGAAGTCTTTCAGCAGCACAATGTGGGGGTGTCGAATGCCCTTGAGGATCTCAATCTCTGTCAGGAGGTTTTCCACGGATGCCTTATTCAGACTCTTCTTGGCAACGCACTTTATGGCTACCACCTCTCGAGTGTCCTTCTGTGGGGGTAGGAGATTTGAGGGCTCTGTCTTGAGGGAGCCAGGGCCCATGCCTGGCCAGAAAGGCTCTGATTCCCTCTGCCCTTCTCCCCCTCTCTGGGCCTAGCCACTCACACCAGTATCCAGGTTTCCCAGCTTCCTCTTCTCAAGTCAATGAGGCCCCCTGATTCTGCAATCCCCACCCAGCCTGTTGTTCTCCATCCCTCTGTTGCTAAGTCCTACAGCCCTTCTAGAGTGCACCTGCTAAGGCAAGTCATTCAGTGTTCTAGAACTGCCCATTTTGCTTCCCAAGTGGGTCCAGCCTTCCAGAATCCTGTCCAAGACTCCTCCCAGCCCACCGGGTGTCCTCCCTGTTTTGAGCCTATTCTTAAGGCACTGACATAAGGCTCCACCCAGGTCTCGAACACGGGTGTGTTTATGTGTGTTTGTTTTTAAGACCTAAAGGAGGCAGTCAGCTTCCACGTCATCCGCCGACAATCAGGTCGGGAAGTGGCAGGCCGCGGGCACCTAATGCTCCCGTGCAGTCTCTGACCTCCCCTAGCCTCTCAGCCGCGTACCCGCCGGGCTCCCTCACGGTCTGGCCCGCCCCGGGCCAGGCCCTCAGAAGTTCTCGCTCCCCAATCCGGCCCCGCCCCGTCCTCACCTTGGCGTAGGCCTTGTACACCGTGGCGTACGTGCCACTGCCCAGGCGCTCGGTGAGGATGAAGCCGTCCAGCCGCGGGGGGCCCCAGCCGGACCCCGCCATCCTGAGCCCCCAGCAGCGCCAGCAGGCGCTTCCTGCTTCCCGGAGCGGGTTCCGGCCCGGAGCCGCGAGAGGAGCGCGAGCAGCGACTGGCCGGACTCCGCGCTGCCCCTAGCGCCGCCCGCCAGAAGTGCAGTGCGGGCGAGGGGCCGGGCTCCCCAGCCCACGCGACTCGCTGCCTCCTGCTGCTTTAGCCACTGCTCTGCTCTGAGTGCTGCCCAAAACCTCCTTCGCCCCCACCTGCACTACAAATCCATTGATCCGCAACATCCATCTGGGAATACTGAGACCCCAGCGGGCCAAACGGAGGAACTAGAGGCCAGCAGAGGAGGTCACGGGGAATCCCATCGGGGCTCCGATAGGATCCTAGAGATAGCCCACGTGAGGAGCAAGAAGGGTGCAGGGCGCTTGAGCGGTGTGTGGGGGGATTCAAAGAGGTCCCTCCTCCCAAGACCAGCAGCTCTGAAAGTGGAATTACTGGGACATATGCCAAGGTTGCAGTTCTATCCCCAGTCAGGGCACATAACAAGAATCAACCAATGAATGCGTAAGTGGAACAACAAATCTGTTTCTCTTTTTCTAAAATCAATAAATTTAAAAAAAAATCTTTTAAAGGGGGGGGAAGCACCATGGAAGAGGCCAATAGTTATTTTAGGTAGAGGCTTGCCTCCAGGAGTGAGAGGCTTGGCCTGTCACAGACCAGCAAGGGAGCAGGGAGCAGCACCTTGACTGACCCTTCACACCTATAGAGTACCCCAGCCCCTACTCCTGGAGGCCATCCCCATCCTCCCGAGTGCAGCAGACAGTAGGACTAGTGTTGTCTGAAAATGTCTTTTTATTTAAGCACAAAACTGAAACATAACATATACATTTATACATGGAGAAAAAATACCAGAAAGGAATTTACAAAACCTTGGTCATTGCCATTAAATTATCATTCAGCGGCTCTGGAGTGGAGTGGGCTGCAGACTGTGGGCTGCCTCTGGGTTGGCCTGCTTTTTGAGAAGTTCCCTCAGTCCACACACCCATTCCTACAGTCCCTGGAGGATATGGTGCACGTGTTAATGGTGGACTCCTAGGTGCTCATCACAGTGACACACCTCCCAGGGAATCCCCAGGACCAGTGGAAGGTAACCTAGACTCTACTACTCAGGGTATGGGAAAACCCTGAAGGATGAGTCTGGAACCCTGGTTCATCAGTGCAGCCTGAAGGATGCAGGTCTGGACTGATTCACCCTGCCCTTCCTAAGAGTCATACAAGCTAGATATTGCTGATGTGGGGACAGAGAATTAGAATGTGAGGCCAACGCAGAGTGCAGCTGTCCCCCAGGAGAAGAGGAAACCAAAACAAACAGGGACAAACTATCCACACCAGGACAGTCACATACACCCCTCCTAGAAGACTGTTAAAGGCTGGGCAGGACAACTCAGGTTGTCCTGTCCTTCCCCATCCCCAGATCCCAACCAACCCCAATGTACATTTAGTAAGTCTAAGGAGGGAAGGGCTCAGGGAGGGCCCCAGATGGCATAGGGTGCTGCCCACACCAAAAAGGTGCAGGGGGCCAATAGGGCTATTAATCTGTTTGTGAGAAACATGAGGCAGGGAAGGGGCTGAGGAATCAGCCCAGAGCCTCTGGAAGCCCAGAGACTTGTCCAGAATAATCTGGGGAATAGAGCTACCCACCAGCCCAGACCATAGCTCATCTAAAGGGGAGCCCTTGGGAGGTCATCCCAGCCCAACAGGAAAGGAGGGCAGGACTATGGAAGCCACAGACTGGGTCTGTGAAGCCAGGTTCAGGCCAGGTTGCTGGGGTAGGAGTGGAGGCCCAGGCCCCGGACAGAAATACAACTCCAGCTGGGGGTGGGCCCAGGTCAGCCAGAGGTCCCAAGTGTGTACACGTGTGCATGTGTGCGCGCGCGCGCATGTGTGTGTGTGTAGAGGAAAGAGAACTTCAGTCCCACTGCTTCCAGAGAGAGACAAAAGAATTCTACCAAACCACCACCAGAGAAGAAAAAACAACTCTGTTTTTTTTCTTTTCTCTTGTGTAAAAAAAGTCTCTATCCCTCCCCCCTTCCCTTGGGTGGAAGGGGAAGCTGGTTGCTAAGGAAGGAGGAAGAGCCAAGGCAAGACCCTCCCCAGGTCTGTGCTGGCCATAGCACTGCTTAAGGCACCCTTGGAAAGTGCAGCTCAGAAGGCAGACAGGAGAAAAGGCTGGGGCAGAGGGAGGAGAGTCAGGACTAATTCCCCTGGAAGGCTCCTCGGGCAGCAGATGAGGCAGCACTGCGGAAGGTCCTGTTGCTGAAGATGCCTTGGGAAAATTCCTCTTGGGCCTGCTGGAAGCTGGCCCCTGTCCGGCGGTACAGGGAGTGTACCTGGGGAAAAAGGCTGTGGTGAGAGAAGCCTGCCCTGTAGGCCCACAAGGAACCCATCCTGCCTGACCTCCCGCCCAGAGCCTTGGAGAAAGCCACAGGATGTTTGGCAACTCAGGAGGCCCAACTGCTGTAGTGATGAACACCCCTATGGCAAGGCAGGAAGAGGTGCCTGCTTCCTCAGATTTGCTAATGGAACAGCAACCCCTCCTCCCACTTACCCGCTTTAGAAGGAAGAGTGAGAGCACGGCACAGAGGGTAAAGAAGCCAGCCACCACCATCATGATGATCGACACAGCCAAGTCTTGCTTCAGTGTAGACAGGGCTGCAATCCAACCACTACAAAAGGGAAGAGGAGATCAGAGAGGGTACAGTGGAAGTGGGCCAGAGGTCCCATGAGGGGCTCTTCTTTAAGTGATTGCTGTATGCTGACCACCACCTAGGCCGACAGGCCCCATACTGCCCACATGGAATCTCTGGGCCATGTGAAGTCTGGAAGGGATGTGGCTGCTGCCCTCAGTCAGAAGTAGCACTGGGTAGGGCTTTTTCCTGCTGCTTTGGGGGCTTGGGGAGACATGGAAAGCATGGCTGCTCACTCTTGAGGGCCTACCCTCAGGAAAAGAGAACTACTGCATTCATCCTGTCACCTCAGCTCCTCCCACTAGGGCCCAGAGACAGCCCCCTCTATGTCCAGTCATGTCTCCTTCCTGAGCTCCAGCTTTTTCATCTATAAAAGGAAATATCCTCACACTTCATGAGTTAAAAACTTACTACAAAGCTGCAGTTATCAAAACAGTGTGGTACTAGCATGAGGACAGACGTACAATATAGAGGTTGATGGAAAAGAGTTAAGAGTCCAGAAACAAACCCATACATCTATCGTCAACTGGTTTTCACAAGGGTGCCAAGACATTTAAATGCGAAAAGAATGGTCTCTTCAGCAAATGGTGCTGGGCCCTGGCCAGTGTGGTTCAGCTGGTTGGGCGTCGTCCTGTGCACCAAAAGGTTGCCAGTTTGATTCATGATCAGGACACATGCGGGGGTTGCGGGCTTGATCCCTAGAAGGGGGCATGCATGAGGCAGCCGATCAATGTTTTGCTCTCATCGATGTTTCTTTCTCCTTCTCCCTCTAAAAACCGTTTTTTAAAAATGGTGCTGGGCCCTGGCCAGTTTGGCTCAGTGGTTGGAGCGTCAGTCTGTAGACTGAAGGGTCCCGGGTTCGATTCTGGACAAGAGCACATACCTTGGTCGCAGGCTTGATTCCCGGCCCCGGTTGGGGCATGTGCGGAAGGCAACCAGTCGATGTGTCTCTCTCACATAAATGTTTCTTTCTCTTCTCTTTCTCTCTCTGTCCCCCTTCCACTCTCTCGGAAAAAGCAATGGAAAAAATATCCTCAGGTGAGGATGAATAAATAAATAAATAATGGTGCTGAGACAACTGGATATCCACATGCAAAACAATTAAGTTGGACCCCTTCAAAAATTAATTCAAAATGGATCAATGACCTATTAATAACTCAAACTATAAAAATCTTAGAAGAAAACAGAGGTATACTTTAAAATGGTTTAAGTGGTACATAAAATGACGTATTTTATGTTATGTGTATTTTACAATCAAAAGGGAGTGTTATGAGATGAGGTGAGAAAGACATTGGAGGTGGGAGGCTGCAGGGCTCATCCAGGTAGGCCTAGGCAGGGCATTAAGGGGTGGAGCCAGGACCAGAAATCAAGCCTTCAGACTCCCCATCCTGGGTGCAAACAGCAGTTATTAATCACAGCCTTTCTACCAGGAATCTCACTTAGGGTAATGAGTAATGTAATTAGGTCACCAAAGAGAAAAGGGGCCAGATTATAAACAAGATGAGAAGGAAGAGGGGTGGTAGGAGAGCAGCGTGCACTTGGCTCTGAGTTCGAGGTAAGTCACCCTCCTCCCCACTGCTCTGGACCTGCCAGCTCCACTGGAGAGATGGGACCAAAATAGTGCAGCCTTTCCAGGCTCAGGCTTTCAGCCAAGTGCCAGCCTGACCTTTCTATAATGTTCCCTGTGCACTGAGGCAGAAAGGAAAACATCAACCATCAGCTTTTCTTTCTGAGACTTATTTTGAGTGGAGGACTATAGTACTCAGAAATTCAAGCCAGGTGTTTGCTCAAAGAGAGCAGCCAGAGGAGCCATCCAGGAGAGGGTAGGGCTCCATCTCCTGAGGTTACAGGGCCTCTGGAAAAAGTCATAGCTCATGGCTGGCAAAGACCAGGGCATCCATCAGCAGCTGCCCAAAACCAAGGGCATGTCTGGAACCTGTGGAAGTAGCACCAGCTTCTAGGAGGGTGTGACAGGAGAAAAGGAAGAGGATGCAATCCAGTGCAGGACACAGTTCAGGTAGCCTAAGGATTCAGGCCACATTCACCCACAACACTCCAGAAAGTGGTGAGCAAGGCAAGATAGTGAGTGGCTACTAGTGAAGAACTGAAGAGGGGGCTTGAAGGCAGATCCAAGCTGGCCCAGTTAGCGTTCTCCCTGCTACAATGGAAGAGGGGCCCTCAGAGGCTGGCAAATAGGGCAAGAGAGGCTGAGCTGAGCCTCCAAAGCAAAGTTCCCTCTGTACTGCCCCAGGTCTCACCTGTCCCCCAGGCTAGGGATGCCAATCAATTGGATGACATAAATCCCTATTTGACAAAAAAATACAAAGAAGAACACGAAGAAGCTGAAAGAGTTGTCAGACCTGTGGAGAGAGGGGAAAACCAGAAGTCACAAAAGGGCTTGGGACTCATTCCTCAGCATTCCTCACATAGTCTGACATTCCTCCTCACTAGAAGCCAGGGGGCAGAATGGGAGAGCAAACAGAGCATCAGAGGCTCAGTCCCACTGTCTACAACAAGGGTGGGGAACATCCGGCCCCAAATCATTTGGTCTGGCCCTGCCAAGGCAACTGTAGGCAAGACTCAAAATTCAATAAATCTAGGATCTTTTTTCATAGCTAATTTTTAAGTTGATTGACAATTTTGTATGGCCCGTGAATGATGTTACAAATATCCAAATGGCCCTTGGCAGAAAAGGTTCCCCATCCTTGGTCTATAAGGACACACTACAATCAAAAGGGCTTGCCTTTCAGTGCCTTCTTATTTAAGAGAACAAAGCCTGACCCCCTCCTCAAAGAGCTAATACAGTTGCCTACCCAAAGGACAATTTATACAAAGAGTCCATCTTCTAGAGTACTTATCTGCATTTCATAACAGGGAAGAAAATCTAAGCCAGAAGTATAAACCTTTAATAATAAAAGTGTAGGCCTGAGTGGCAGCAAAGGTATTGGGGGAGTAGAAAACACTGGGCAAAACTGCTGTTTTGAGTACCTCCATTTCCATGTCCTTGAGGCCTAGAATACAGTGAGGGTTCAGGTCCCACCTGCTGAGTGTATGAGGAGGTTCAGCCACTGCCCTGCCCCCTTTTTCCAGGGCCTGCTGGGCTCCCTGAAAGCATCAGCTCTGGGGCACAGTTCCAAAAGCCCTAGGGGTCTGTGAAGTGGATCCACTGAAGTCCACAGAATCTATTCTAGGTAAACTGGTCAAATACTGGCATTCAACAATGCTCAACAGTTACTAGGGAGGTAGGGGGAGGGGCATAAGCAAGCATGGAGAGATAAGCCTTAAGAGCATATCTCAGCCCAGCCAGCGTGAACTCAGTGGTTGAACGTGGACCCATGAACCAGGAGATCATGGTTTGGGCAGCCGACCAATGACTCTCTCTCATCACTGATGTTTCTATTTCTCTCCCTCTCCCTTCCTCTCTCTGAAATCAATAAAAACACATTTTTTTAAAAAAAGAATGTATCTCAGAGTCTGACTCATAGAAGCATACCCTAGAGCACCGATTTTCAAACTTTTTCATCTCATGGCACACATAAACTACTAAAATTCTATGGCACAACAAAATATATTTTTTGCCAATCTGACACAAAAATAGGTATAATTTTGATTCATTCACACCAAACAGCTACTGTTGTGTTCACTGTTGGCATTTTCTCATTTGACAATCTAAGTAAAAGAGGTCAGTGCCCTTGACTAAATAGTCAAAAATTCTTGTAGCACACTGGTTGAAAATCGCTGCCCTAAAACTTCAGAAGGGAGCTAAGGAAGTCCCTTCTCTCTTCCCAGTGACTGAAATCATCCTGCACCAAACAGACTGGGTGCAGTGAAAGGGCAAGTAAGGCTCCAGCTCCCCTTTCTAGGTCTCCTTTCCTGGTCTGAGGACAGGGCTAGAACAGATCTCAAGTACAACTGAGGAAAATGGCTCCTGATCCCTGCCAACTCTGGCTGTGGGTGGGAATGGGAAGTGAATTTTCCATGATTCTGTTCTGCTCTGACTGGAATGCGGCCCTAGGGTTCATGGTCCTTGGCTTGCTACCTGGGATGCCAACCATACACTAACCGCCCTTGTTCCAACCCTACTTACCTGAAGGCCTTATAGATGGGTCGGTACCAACAAAGGAAGGCACAGGGGGTGAAGATCACAAACCACAGGATTGAGAGGCCAAAGTCCACTCCCTTGCTGCTATCGACTAAGAACCAGGCCAGGCAGGCAAGCAGGTTCAGAAACAGAGTCACTGAATGCACTGTGGAAGGGGGGAGACAGACGTGGGCTGGTGCCAAGGTGGCTGAAGGGCTCCCGGATATGGCAAACCACCCCCTGGAGAGGAGATGAGGTCCATGCTTTCAGGACAGCTGTAGCAAAAGTTGAGGAGCTCGATCGGTACCCAGGCAGGGCTAGCTCCTATCCTTGCTTTTTTGAGACCTCAAAACCAGGGACTAAACCAAGCTCCTAAGAGGTAATGGGACAACCCAGGTATCTAAGGGGTGGCTATGGAAAGGGTGCAGATCGAAAAACTGATCCTCGAGGAATGGAATCCTTCTCTAAGCAACTTTTTCCCCTAGCCCTGGATTGCTCACAGGGGAGCAACAGGGAGTCTTTTGTGTTGTTATTAATCCTCACCTGAGGATATTTTTTCCATTGATTTTTTTTTTTTTTCTATAGAGGGTGGAAGGGGGCAAGCGGGGGAGAGAGAGGAGAGAGAAAAAGACAGTCAGACAGACACATCGATTGGTTGCCTCCCACATATGCCACGACCAGGGCTGAGGATCGAACCTGCAACCAAAGTATGTGCCCTTGACCAGGAATTGAACCCCTGACCCTTTGGTGAGTGGGCCAATGCTCTAACCACTGCGCCACACTGGCCAGGGCAGCAGGGAGTCTTTTATCCTCACTCCTAGGAGCCCAGGGGTCTGTAGGGAGGGGAGGCATTCACCAAAGGAGGACCTTTTAGTGCAATGAGCTCCACAAGAACTCAGAAGCCTCCAGCTAGTCCCACCCTACTTGATGGTTGGTCTGGACTGGCCCTTGAGGGGAGGTTCCCAGGATAAGGAGCAGACTTCAGAGGGCCAATGATGTGGGCAAAGGTTCCCCATCCCAGCCCAAACAGCAATGAGGAAGGCTAGAGTCTGCCATGGAGGAGAAGCCAGAGCATAGATAGGGCTCTCAAGACACAGCCCATTTCAACCTTGAGCTCAGAGGGTCAGGAGCTTGACTCACACATCCAGAGATAGTAGAGCATCTTGCATATCCGCTGGTAGTCAGCAGGTATCTCTGTGGAGAAGTCCTGATAGAAGCAGGGCTTCACAGGGCACCACAAGGGCAGGGGCGGCCAATTGTTCTCTCTCACTGTGTAGAAGGAGACGAAGAGATGAGGCCCAGCTTCAGCAGCAGCATGGCACAGTGCGCATGTTGGCCCAGTTTGGGGCTGATCCAGGGCCCCCAGAGGGGTGCCAGCAAGTGGGGCTCAAGGTCTTCATGGGTATAAAGTGGGAAGGGAAAAGGATGATGGGACATGAACACCCACAAGCTCAGTCCAAGATATTGGACCCCAAATGTACTGGGAAACAGAGAGCTAAACAGCCTAAGTGATTATTTTTTTTGAACAGTCTATAATCAAGGAATCGTGAGGCCAGTGGCCCCACTCTATCAAAGAATTTTACAGCTGGAAAGGAGCACAGAATAATCTACACCCATTAAGTTTACACTACAGGTCTCTTGAGTCCCACCTTACTGCCCTCCCCAGGACCAGCACCATTCTAAGATGATCAGGAGCTCAGCAAAGATCTGAGGCTGCCCCAGGAACAAGCAGGCTGAGGGAACTCTCCTGCACCAGGCCTGGTAACCCAGGACCTTGTGCAGCCTCCCTTACCATGTAAGTTGGCCACAGTGTTCTGCAGCTCCCGCTCTTTGCGTTCTAGCTCAGCTGCTTTCCTGTCCAGTTCTTCCTGCTGCCGGAGTAGGCTTGCCTGGGCTGCAGAGGCCACAGCCTGGAGCCAAAAGGGGAAGTAGGAGGCAGGCAAACACGAGAGACAGAGGAACAGTGTTGGCCTGACAGGAAGTCACAGGGCCTGTGCCTCATGCAGGGAGATCCAGTTGGGAGTCCCAGAGGCCGTCCCACCCCTCAGTGTCTTGGGTCCCTGAGACCACCACAGAGAGGCCAAAGTGACCTGTCCCTTACTGCTCTTACAACACCTCTGGCCCCTTTGCCATTACCAGGGTTCTCCTCCCCACTTCATTCCAAAGTCTGAGATAGGAGAACCATCCTCCATACTGTAATCCAGGCCAAGTTCAGTTACACTGACCTTACCTTTGGGGGATAGCAAAGGGCAAAAGGTCTCACAACAGACTGTCCTGTGGTCAGAAACCCAGAGACCTAAGCGTCGCTTGAAGAGCCTAGAGGGTGTGTGAAGGGAAACAGTGCAAACCTGCTAGAGTGAGTAGGGAGGGGAGGCACTTGAGGCCACACTGTGTACACCTGGAACCTGAGGGATATATATTTAAGCACCTCCACCTGCTCTGTTACCAGGAACTGTCCCCTGAGGTCAACGTGAACTGTGACTGGCTACATCCCAGAACAGCCCCTTAGGGTTGGCCCTGCTCTGCCTGGCTTTGATGGCATGCACAGGCCAAGCTTTATCCCCTCTATAGGCAGAGCAGGGTGTCCAAGTGAAGCAGCTAGGGGACTCTACATGAGGCTGACAGAGCTGGGCCCAGAGTTCCAGCCCACAGTCCCACTCCTGGTGGGTGCTGCAGCTATTGGGGCCCAGTTCCTCCAGAAGTCTACAGTCCTTTTTAAGGATCAAATACCAAACTGGTCATCTCACAGGAAGATAAGTGTACATATGGATGTGTGTTCTCGGTCACTCTCTCCAAAATAAGTTCCCCAAAGAGCTAAGACTGCCTTCAGGAGGTAAATTTCTGGCACTGGGGGTATAAGCAGGACCAGAACAGATCTCAGGTAAAACCGAGGAATTGACCATGGTAAGGGTCTTGGCCTATTTCCCCAAGTCTGTGACTTCAGCTGAGCTGGACCCAGGACCCACCACCCAGCTAAACAAGAAAGTTTTCTCTGCCTCTAAGCATCACCTCACAGGATTCTAGGGCCACAGATGGGGCCCAGGGTCCCAGGGTTCCATGCAGGGGCAGCACTTTCAGAGTAAGTCTGGCCAGATGACGGGAGCAGCCTGGGGCCCACTAGAATCCAAAGCCCAATTTGGCAGGCTCCAGGCACTTTACCTTCACTCACGCTCACCTATACTTTGCCTACCTTTGGAAGCTTTCGCATGTAGCTGTCTCTGAGAATACTATCTCCTCCTAGTAGCATCTGCCTCTCTGAGAGCTCGCTCACTGCCAGGAATCTGGTAGGCAGGAACTTGCTGGCCTGTCTAAGGAGGAGCTGCAACACACAACTCCACTGTGGGTCATGCTCACCAGGGACAGTGAAGAGCATGGAGTAGAACAGTGAGGCAAGGGGGTGGAGGGTTGGGTACCAAGCAGACAAGAGTCAGTATTTGGTGAAGGGACAAAGGAAAATAGGAAGGAAGGCAGGAATAAGTAAGGTTAGAAAAAAAAAGATAGATTCCAGACCCTGAGTAAAAAAGGCCCTAGGAGATCTAGAATGGCATGAGAGGCAATGCTCTGTCTGAAGACACCCCGCCTGGTGAGTAGGGCTTATTTTTTGGTGCTGCCAGTGAGGTGGGAGATTAGGGCATAGGTGAGCAGACCCTCCACATGTAAGTGACCAACTCCAAAGACATTATCAAGAGGGCCCTTGAAGGGAAGACAGAGAATAAGGCCCTCTGCCCACCACTCAATCTCAAGACTCAGCTATTAGTCTGGGTGCTTCCTGTTCTGGAAAGGAGAGGCAAAAGGGATCTTTGACAACCATACCTGGGGGGTTGGCTGGGTTGGTTCCACTGAGGTCTGGAGAACAGCCGGCTGCGAGGGCCCAGAGAACTGGGTGGCAGGAACTGTTGTTGCTGCACTTGTCTGCTTGGGACAGATCAAAGGAGTGAGGTGAGTGGGACTCCACTAGTTGGCCATGTGGGAGCAAATTCACAGCAGGGTAAGTGATATGCCCCTGCCTATGAGGAGTACTCCTTCTGGGCCTCCCTCTGTGGCTTCTCGGCCAACAAGCCTCAGGCTCTGGGCAATATGATGCCTAACCCAGCACCCATGGCCTTTTTGGATCCCGAGCTCCTGGCACTGTCCTGCCCTCTTTAGGGAGGAGTCCAGATCATGGACCCCAAGGGGAGAATTGGTGGCTTCCTCATCTTACCCCCACCCCTCAAGTTCACGTTAAGACTGTCCCTTTGAGCCCAGCAGGCGTGGCTCAGTGATTGAGCATTGACCTATGATCCAGGAGATGGCAGTACGATTCCCGGCCAAGGCACATGCCCAGGTTGCGGGCTCGATCCCCAGTTAGGGGCGTGCAGCAGGTAGCCAATAACTGACTCTCTTTTATTGATGTTTCTCTCTCTCTCTCCCTCTCCCTTCCTCTTTCTCTAAAATCAACATAAAAAAAAACAAAAACAAAAAAACCCTTTAAAAAAAAAAAAAAGACTGTCCCTTTGAGAACTGCACATTCTTACAACACTGTCTTGCCAAGGCTCCTTGCCCCAGAGACCCCAGCACCACCCAGAGGACCCAGAGACTCAGAAAGAGGACATGCTCACCAACCTCTGAGAAGGGGTTGAATTCAGCCAGGCCACCTTGTGGGGCATTGGTTAGCTGGGTCACAGAGGGGTCCTGAGAAGGTGAAACAAAAAGCTATTAGATACTGAAAAGAGAGAACTTTGGCGAAGCAGGGAAATCACCATTTCAGGGCCAACAGGCAATCCCAGGGATGCCGGCTAAAGTGAGGCTGCTGATGACCCTTCCTAGTGTCCTGAACAGCTTCTTCTGAAGGCTCCTGTACCCAGCCCCTATCACACAGAACTGCAATCTCTTTTCCCTTTCTAGAAAAGGAGAGGTTCAGCCCAGGCGACTTCCCAGAAGAGATTCAAAACAAGCTTTATATTCTGAGGCCTGGGAATCAACACTACACGTGTTCTTGTTAGTAACCTTTATAAATTCATAACAGTTCATAGTATTTACCTCCAGGGAGTGGGGTTTTTTGGTGGTGGTGGGGTGGTGAATGGGTTACGGTATGGGTAGAAAATTTTCAATTTATAACTTTTCTGAAATGTTTTATTTATTATTTTATTCCTCTTATTTTTAAAAGGATAGCTCACGGTCCTAGAACAAAAGCATGCTGCTGGGTGCCAGCGCTAACTTGATTAAATCAAGCATACTTACTAGGAATAAAGAGATAAAAAGGGCTCAGATAAAAAGCCAGGAAAATGTTTTTGGTTGTTTTTTCCCTCTAGATTCTTTTCAAAAAATACAAAAATATCCTCAGAACACAGCTTGTCCTAAATGTTTAATCTTCCCTTTCCCATCTGATCTCTGTGAAGGCCAGCCCTTCTGGTCTAAGACCTGCACAGAGTTCCCTGCCGCCCTCTTCACCCAAGCAGCCTTCCTGCTGGCCTGAGGCCAGTCTGTCTTCATCTTGCCCCTTACCCAGCAGAGCTCCTATACACTCCCTCTTCCCCATACATACAGTTATGGGGCTCAGGTCCAGCTCAACAGCAATGGCTGGGTTCTGGGAGAAACAGTTGTGAAGGGTAAGCAGACTCTGTCAAGGTCCCTGTTACAGGCCTCATTTAGGTTACTCTGTGTGCACACCTCACCCTCCATCCTTCACTATTCATCCAGATGCTCCTGCCCTTCTGGCCCAGCCTCACCTCCACCAGAAAGCCTCCTTAGGTTGGATTTTTAAACACAATGTTAACATTAAGCAGACCCCCAGGTTTTTCTATATGGAAAAAGACAACAGGCTCCCCATAAATTTTTCTATATATGGAACCCACTCAATTTTTCTATATGGAAAAAGACAATTCCCTCAATTTTTCTATATGGAAAAAGACAACAGATTCACCATAAACAAATCCAGTCTCCACTAGCAGGCTGTAAACTCTGCAGCTAGGTGTCTAGTTTATACTCAGGCTTCCTAGTGGTTGGTGAAGGGCTTATGCAGAGCAGAAGAGAATAAATGCTGAATAAATGAGAATAAATGCTGAATGTTGCAGGCTCTCTGCTTTCTCTAAGAGGCACTGCACAAATGTTAGGGCATAGAGAAGGAGGCACCTGCATCACAGTGGCAGCCACAGGGCACAAAAGCACCTTGCTTGGGAAGAGAAGCCTGGCACAGGAACACTCTGGGAGACAAGGATATTTCCCATCTGAAGAGACCTGGGCTCTTCAGAAAGTTGTGGGTGGCTTCAAGAGAAGCTGAGGACTGGGGATAGAGGCAGGAAGGAGGAGGGACTGAGGAAGGGAGCTGACATTTATTGTCTACTATGTGCCAGGCTTACCATAACAGGATGCTACTGTGAAATTCTAGTCACCCCAGAACTGGCCACTGTGTCAAGCCATCCAAAAAGATGATTCTACTAGCCTTTCTCAACCTGGTTCCTCAACAGAATTAAGCCCCACTACCCTAAGGCATTCACTGTCTGCAATGACTTGACTTCTCTCCTGTGCATCTTGAACCACCCTGGTTATATTCCATCCTTGAGAGAATGGAGAAAACAGTCACTCCAATCAACTTGTGTGTCCTGTGGCTCAGCTGAGGAGCCCTGGCTGAGAAAAGCTACACCCTCTCCCCCTCATTCCAGCTAAGAAGCCCTGGCTGAGAAAAGCTACACCCTCTCCTCCTCATTCCACCTCACGACCAACCTGTGACGAAGGAGTATTTGTAGTTTGCAGCTGGAGAATGCCTCCACTCAGAGAGGGGAAGCAGCTGCTCCAAGATTTCAGAAGTAGTGGCTGAACCCGACTCTGAATCCAAGGCTGTCTCCAAAGACAAAAGTGGTAAACCTGACAGGAAAAGGCCCAGTTCTACCTTGTTTAGCAGTGCACCCCTGAAGCCTGGTACAGCACCTGACAAATGGAAGGTGCTCCATCAATGTGTGGTTGAATAAATGAACCCCACTCTGGAAAGACACTGATGAGGACACTGTGAGTGATCAGGACAACTGCTTCTGTTCATTTCTTTATTCCTAGGCCTTAGAGAAGTCCTTCTTGGGGAACACCCTTTGTAGGACACATGTAGAGTGTCTTGTGACTAAGGACCACAGTGACTGGCATGAAAAAGGATCCTCAGCTTTTACTGAGTCACAAATAAGGAGTCACAGCAGCAATCTTCTTTCCCATTCACTGAGCACCAACTAATTCATAAGTGGGTCAAGTAGTTATTTGAAAGGATAGTGAGAGCTAAGTTTCACCTACAAAGAAGTAACCTAAAACCCCCTCAGTGCCAAAGGCCCCAAACTGGCTAATGCCTCTTACTTAATTTATAACAAATAAAATGCTCCTGAACTCAGTTATTTTCATTCCGTTAACAGTCACAAACAGTGTGAGGGACACACCAAGATGAAAAAGGCACAGCTCTTGTCCTTCTGGAGTACACGATCTGGTAGCTGAGACACATGCTCAAGAACCCAGGATGGAATGAAGACAGGAAAGGAGGTCTGGGTAGGGCTTTGAGAAAGGGAGGGATCCAAGAGGAGGAGAGGAAGGTAAGCAAAGGCCCAGTGAGTAAGGCTCACCACAGCTCTGGGGCAGGGGAACACTTCCATGTCACTGGGGTGTGAGGGACCCAAGAGAAAAGAGGCAGAGTTAGGCTGGAGCTCTGCCAGGAGGGGACTTGAAAAATACACTGATTTTCACTGGTTTGGCAATGTCTTTCCACAAGGTTCACAGGTCCTGCTGTAAGCTAGCTCTCTGGGATTTTTCCTTGCTTTCCCATCCTACATTCCACCCAAGCTCCCAGTGTGGGGATTATTTCTGGTTCCAAGTAAACATTAAATAAATACCTCATGGGCTAAAAAAACTCAGCCATTCTCTCTAGGAAGCATGGAGTCACCAATACTTTAGAAGCTCTGTGAAGTCCTATTTGTTTTGGCAGCTGTGTGTAACAGTGCACCAAAGCCACAGTTACCCTCGGTACTCTCTGACCCAGAACCTAAGAATTCATCCTAAGGAAATTTGACAAAAACATAAAAATCTGTATCTGCAAAAACATTTATTGCACCAGTATTTACAATAGGAGAAAAAAGCAGAAAACAAATATCCAATGACACTAAGCACAAGCATGTTTTGGTGCACATTCCCTTGATGGCCTAAAGAGCCATTAAAAATTACAGCAAAGGCCGTGTCAGGTGTGGCTCAGTTGGTTGAATGGTGTCCTATGCACCAAAAGGTCACCAGTTTGATTCCCGAACAGGGCACATGCCAGGTTGTGGGCTCAATCCCTAGTAGGGGGCGTGCAGGAGGCAGCCAATCGATGTTTCTCTCTCTTCCTCTCTCTTGAAAATTCACATTTAAAAAAAAAATTACAGCTATGAACATAGGGAGCAATACAGAAAAGGCTTTGTTACATGAATACATTTTATCCAATGTACTCATGAAAAGAGACTGGCAGGAAAACACATCAAAATAGCAATAGTTGCCAAAGACTGGTAGAAATATGGATGACTTACTTCGTTTTCCAAATTTTCCATGTACAATTGTTATATTTAATTTAAAAACACATATTTTTAAAAAGAGCCTGAGTACTCCTGGACCTCCCTTCCTGCCACAGACTTCCCTTCCTGCCTCAGAGTCTGAGCCGCCTGGCCTGGCCTCAAGGCCCCACGACCTGGCACAGCACCCCTCTCAGCACAGTCCATTCTCAATCAAACTAAGCCATTCATCATTGCCTTCCACCTCTGTCTCTTGACTCCCATAGAAACCATTCCACACCAAGCACAGGGCGAGGACACCAAGGAAAAGCATTGATTCCTGCCCTCAAGAAGCAAATAGTACAGAGCACAAAACAGAAGCCAGGGCAGAGACAGCATATGATCAGTGCTGTAACAAGGTGAGGGCAGATGGAAGGGGATCATAGATGAGGGAGGAACTAAACTATCAGGAAAAGTGAAGAAAGGCTTTACTTGCCCTGGCCGGTTTTGTTCAGTGGTTAGAGCATCAGCCTGCTGACTGAAGGGTCCTAGATCTGATTCCAGCCAAGGGCATGTACCTTGGTTGCAAGCTCGATCCCTGGCCATGGTTGGGGCATGTGAGGGAGGCAACCAGTCAATGTGTCTCTCTCACATCGATGTCTCTCTGTGAAAAGCAATGGAAAAAATATCCTTGCGTGAGGATTAAAAAGAAAGAAAGGCTTTACTGCCCTGGCCCCTGGCCTGTGTGGCTCAGTTGGTTGGGCGTCATCCTGTGTACTGGGAGGTTGCCATTTCCATTGCAGTAGGGGGCGTGCAGGGGGCAGCCCACTGATGTGCTCTCACATTGATGTTTCTCTCTCTCCCTCTCCCTTTCTCTCTCTCTCAAAATCAATAAACTATTCTCTAAAAAAATAAAAAGGCTTTACTGAGGTGGCATCTCAGTTGAGAGATGAAAGAAATTTAGCAAGAACTAAAGAGAAAGGGAAAATAGCATTTCAAAAGACCTGGCACCTTTAAAAACAGCTTGCATGTGTTCAGGGAACAGGAGAAAGTTCTGGGGGCTGTGGAGCAGAGTGTGTACAGAAAGTAGCCAGAAGCACCAGGGAACCGACCTGAAGAAGGAGTAGGGCCAGACTGTATGAGTTTGGACTTTACCCTATGGGCAATAGAGGACAACTAGAGATTGTGAGCAGGGATTGCCATGATCATCTCTGCTAGCAGAGAGGAGAGTGCAATGCTTAGGGAAGGATGCCAGGAAAACTGGCTGGGACACAAGTCTATGTGGGTGATAGTGAGGACTGAACTAAAGTATGACAGCTGGGGAAAGAGAAGAGGGGATAGACCCCAGAGACCCTTTTCAGGTAGATGCCACAGGCTGGGCCACTCTCTGGGTTGGTAGAGGTATGGCAATACTGCAGGGCAAGATGGGGGGGGGG